GAACACTACAGAGTGCTTTTTCTAACATGTTGACAATAAAACAACACATGTATTCTTAATCTACCAGGTCAATTAATAATAATTCAGAGCATCTTTGGAGGCCTACTGTACTCTAGTCCTATATACCTCACAGTAGATCTGTACAAAGTTGTAAATGAAGTTGGATCCATAGATTTAATCCTTAGAGAATAACAAATTTGACTTAATTTGTCATGGCTCTTAATGCATGGTTTGATGTATGAATATGCTTGATAAATGAGGTCCAGTCTTTTTCTGCTTCATTTGTACTGTTAATCATCTTGTTAATTGTCATCATTTTGGGAAAAAGAGCATTCATTTGAGAATAAGCCAGTAGTTTGGGCTGAGTCATGCTGAAATACACAATGCTGGTAGACAGGTCTTTTTTCTTAAATGCTCAGATACTGGCAAGCGTCCTCCTCCAGAGACTTGTGTTTGGCATGGTTGGAACCTCTGCGCACCTGGCCCGGCTGCTTGAGCAGCTTGCTGTGGACACGGGGCTCCAGGGGGCCTTCACTGGCCTCTGCAGGCTCCAGCAGTGTCTCCTGGCACCGGGCCTCCAGAGGGGAGATTAGCCCTGGGCCAGGTAGAGCCGCACTCGCTCAGCCTTACTGCAGCCAGCCCTGGGAACCATTCCCAAGTGAGACTATTAGAGCCCAGACTGGACTCCTGTAGGACTCCTGTCTGGGCTCGGGAGAATAAACAGAAGTTTTGGTTTAGTGCGGTGTCACATGAAGGCTTTAACGTAAACGTTTGTAGAGATTTATACAGTAATTCTACAGAATTTGTAGCAAATGATTTGGCAGTTTTTCAATTCGTTGGTGTGGCCTCAAACTAGGATGGCAAACATGATGATGTTGTTGTTGTTATTGTGATAAATTACATCATAATAGGCTTTGCTGAATATATGATGGCTATGGTCAGTACTGCCTAACACTAAAAAACTGCATATATCATAAAAAAAGAGATTTAGGCCAAATATGTACAGCCTGTAAACTATAGGCTTTATTTATTTTTTATCTATTATTTTATTTATTGTGGCACTACGGTTGTGCTGATGCATTTGGCCCATTTCAACTTGCAAGGTCTTAATAATAATAGTAATAATGATAATAATATATAGAAACATGGAAAATTTCTTTTTTTGCTTATAAAGATTTTAAATTCTAAAATAATGCCTTAAGGCTGCGTGAAAAAGAGCAGTGGTGCAATATTAAACTATTTCAGAATAATCCACTGACCCAAAATGTCCAGCCGACAGTGATCCTGTGGTCATGCATACATTTCAAAGTTTGGTTTGTTTTGGTTAAAAAAATAGACATTCATACATTTGAATTTGCTGTCTTTAATAGTTATTAGAAATAAAGGGGCTTGATTTTAAAAATTGCGTAGCAAATATAAGGAAAATAAAATATGAGTTGTATATCTGGAAAATATCTTAAAGGACCCATATCCTACCTTTTTTTTTTTGTTTTTATTTTTTTAATTAAATTAAATTTGGCGGCACAGTGGTGCAGTGGGTAGTGCTGTCGCCTCACAGCAAGAATGGCCTGGGTTCGATTCCCGGCCAGGTCGTTTCTGGGTGGAGTTTGCCTGTTCTCCCCGTGTCTGCGTGGGTTTCCTCCGGGTACTCCGGTTTCCTCCCACAGTCCAAAAACATGCAGTCGGGCTGATTGGACATGCTAAAATTGCCCCTAGGTGTGAGTGTGTGTGTGTGATTGTGTATGTCTGTCTGTCTGCCCTGTGATGGACTGGCGACCTGTCCAGGGTGTATCCTGCCTTCCGCCCAATGACAGCTGGGATAGGCTCCAGCACCCCACCGTGACCCAGAAGGATAAGCGGTTTAGATGATGTATGTATGTATGTATGAAATCCACTCATGATATTTGTTTGTGTTTATTTACCAAAAACAGCCACAATTTATTTTTACCTGACAGTTTCTAACCTCCCTGTATCCCTTACAGAAAGGCTTTAAGACTGACATATGTACATTTTCTCTGTTCTGATTGGCTGGCCTTTATTGTTCATTGTACAAATTGCAGTCCAGTGTGAAACACTCTATAGACCACTGTAGTCATGCATCATTCTGTAGTCAGCGTTATGCTCATATTAGGAACTCCGGGTCTAAGCTCGATTTCTCTATGGCCAGAATGAATGGGGTTTTCGAAAAATCGCCTCTATCGCATCCTGTGTTTTGTCCTGTGTACATTTTTCTCCCAAAGTAAGTTCATGTTCCTCCGCTGTCAAGCAGAAATAGAGCAACCTGCTCATATCATGCCTTTCAACTCTTCATGAAGCTAAAGTCATTAAGCTGTGGGCTAAATAGGCGGATATATGTAAATGCATCAGTTTCTGTGACCAAACTGTGAATTCAAAACAGGCTGTTTTTGTTGTTTAGTTTCCACATCAAGGCTGTATAAAGACTGTATGAAGTATGATCACTGTTTCCACTACAACAAACTCTGTTATTTCCAAATAAATTTAGTTATTTCAAGTATCACAATGTTATGTTTTTGCCGTATTGCCCTTATTATCAAGCCTTGCATAATTAAAACAGTTTCAGGGCTTTCTCCTATACTACCAGTGATTTGGTTCACATGGGGCTCTTATCAAGTTCGGCAATTTGTGTAGACAGAGCCATGTTCTGAGTTAGTTCTTTGTCCACTGTCTGCTTTTTGATTTATTGTTTTGACTGGGAAATATTGCACAGGGAGTGCTGTATAATTATGAATGTGTCCAGTCAATATGTGCTACAAAACAGCAAAAGGCGCGGCGCATTTGTGTTTAATTTCAATGTTGTTCTTTGCAGTATTGACACTCTATTGAATTGCGGCTCTGTAATTTGCGAGAGCAAGTTGTGATTGATCGCAGTCTCTTGGCCCGTTAGCCCGATCATTGACGGATTAATGTAATGAAATTAATTATTGCGGGTGTAAATAGCTGCACAATCCAATCGACAATGAGAAGCTGTAGCAGACTGTGGTGTTTTCAGTCTTATTATCTTAATCAGCCACTGCTTTAAATGTGCTTTTTGTGTTTTGTGCTCAGGATGTGGTGAGAAAAACAGTCATGAGTTTCCATCATATTTCACATGGCAGGAAGGAACGTCTGCATGCCTGATTACTAGCAGAAATTTGCTGGGAGTACCAACCTGGGGGGCTGACATCGCTCAAGTGGCAGAGCCAAAACAGCTAATCTTCACTGTCGCAGTTTCAGCCTCTTACTTTCTCAGTTGCCTGAGAAATAAGCTCCTCCATTTTCCTGCTGCTGCTCTTCCACACTCTTGAATGTGGATATTTCATGGCAGATGGACATATCCTGTGGCTACTTTCTCACGGCCTGCTGATACATCTCAGCGCACTCGAAGGAACAGTTCAGTGAAACATGCCTGTTAGCGTTATGCAGATAGTACCCGTTTCCCACTCGCTTTCATTATACATTAGCATTTTTGGCTGAAATATTCATTTGTGTATGATGTGTTTGAGTATATTATTATTATATAAGTATATAAATGTATTCAGTGAGTTTGCCTGTTTGCGTTTACTGATCTAAAATTCGGAGGCAGTGTGCTTTTTTACATTGTCAACAACAAAAATGTCCTGATTTTGAAGGAAACCAAAGACAAACAGGGCCTACCTACAAAAGCAGCAAGTGGTTTTTATGAAATATAAAAAAAGATCCATGATTTGGTTTTTTTCTTTGTTTGTTTTTGTGTTTTGTAGGGTTTTTTGTGCCCTTTCTTTCTAAATATCATCACTTGTTCTTGGCAAGTTCAAAGGTAATGTAACTCTATTGGAACTATTTATACTACATAGAAAACATTCTCTGAGTGGACCGCTAAGCACTTTTGAAAGTCGCTCTGGATAAAAGCGTCTGCTAAATGTCATAAATGTAAACGTCGTTTTTCAAACCTGAAAGGACAAAACCATTTCTTTTTTGTTACTGAGGTTTAGATTAGGATTAGGCCTAGAAAATTCTTATTACATGCATGGTGTAATGCTGGGTTGTTGAATTAGACACTTGCGGATATAAAATAAACGGGGAGGTTTATTAGAAAAAGGACTGATACAAAAAAACAGGGTTAACACCAGACCAGGTCAAAATCCAGTAGCGAAAAACACAACACATGGGAGCAGGTGAAATCGTAGTCATAAACAAGTAAGGGGTCAATAGGGGGTAATCTGAAAGACAAAAAAAGAGAAACAAAGCAAGGTCAAACACGGGATAAGCAGTAAACAAGATCAGTATGCACTGATGGAACAAGGGCAATACTTCGCAGAGTAACAGTGAAACAGACAGGCTTAAATACACAGTTCTACAGGTGATGACATCAGTACGATCACCATGTGGCCATGAGGGACTGAGAAAACTGAATATCCAGAATTCATCATATTACAAAGGTGGACATCCAAATCTTAGGGCAGTTAACCTGACAAAAAAAATGTAAACAGACAATTACAGTAAATTATGTATCATATTTTTCACTTTTTGTTCAAGAAATCTTGAAATTTGAATAAAACATCCAAAAATGTAATTCAGTGAGTAGTTTGTAATATTTAAATCCACACTGTGTAAGTTAGTATTTTTTATTAAACAACTAGAATCATTAATATGGTAAATGATTCCTAACTTGTGAGCACCAATGTGTACATTATACACATGGAGCATATCTTTGCTGTCAGAACAAAGCCTTGTATCTCCAAAATGGCAACTTTTCAGTAGAAGAAGAAAAAAAACATTCTTAACTTGTGGTGGAAATTAAACGTTTTATTCAAAAAATAAATTTGGAGCATTTCTGTTTTCCATTCACCATCAGATTTTCACACAATATAAAGGGCAGCTAGGTTTTATAAAAAAAATTAAAAAAAAGACAAAAATGGAGGTATGAGGTTTTGTCACGACAGCAACGATATGTACGACGTCTTGTCTTGGTATATCATGCAAGGTGTAATGAAAAGAAAATGTGTGTGTTTTTTCTTTAGGACGTTGAAATTCGTACGAACGCAGCACTGTATCTCCCCCAGATCAGTGATCTGTTGAACAGAGTGCCCCGGCAGATGCTGCTGCTGCTGAAGACCAACGACCTGCTGCGGGGCATCGAGACCGTCCTGCAGACCCGCGCCAGCTCCAGCTCCTTCCTCAACATGTCCCGCTGCTGCACACACGCTATCGCCAGGTAACACACAAAACACACACGAACAGTCGCTAACATGTGACTGATTTTAATGTTTTTTGCATTAGTAGATGATAGAATTAAGAATCACAGCTAGATTACATCCGTCACAAGTTGGGCGATTTAAAAGTCAGAAAACGCCCCATCTGCTGCTTTAAGATGCACGAAAGGAAAACACGTTTCATAATCTGTGTTTCCTTTAATGTGTAGTCCATGTAATACGTCAGTCCTGATACGTTGCCTGGCTTCAGACCTTTCTCTAGCAAAGCATGCTTGCTAAACATATCGCTGTTGTCGGAGCAAAACCTCGAATCTCCAAATTGGTAACTTTACAGGAGAAGGACAAAACCTACTTTGCTTTTAATGTCAGTCAATGGAAGCAGATTTTTTTCCAAGTAATTTTGGGCCGTTTCTTTTGGTCCCTTCATCATGAAATTTACACGTAATGTAAAGAACAGCAGGCGTTTAAATTATGCCAAAAACTGGAAAACGGCAAAAATGGAGATACGGATAATGGAGATGTTCTGACAGCAGTGATATAAAGCAGTACTGTAGCGTCATATACGGAATGCCTTCCTTAAGAAACGTGAAATTTGGCTTAACTGACTGACATCGTGGTTCCACGAACTAAAAGAAAATTGTATATATATCCCAGCTTAATAATACAGACAGGATCAGTTGACTGTTTTTGTTAAAAATCACCATAGTAAGCTTTGGCTGTCTTCTTATTTTTATTAGTATTAAAATTCATGTCTAGGGGTTGCCAAATAATGGTATAATGCGCACAAAGCCTACTAGCCTGGCAGATTTTGTTATTTTCCTAGATGTAATTACACTTTTTAAAATTTTCCATGTACACACACACACACACACACACACACACACACACAATCTGCTCACATTACAGCATAGCAAGCACAAATAACACGTGACACTCGGCACACACTTCACACACAAAGCAAACACCTCATGCACGCATCACATGGAAAACGTGTGAAACACACAAAAAATGGCGCTAACACTGCACATATACTAAACTACACACACACGATATACAGTTGCAAAACAGATGTTTCACACTGATTTCTTTCGAAAACACACTTATCTCTCTCCACTCTTACACAGCTGCATAGTCGTGAACCCATCCCTGATTTATTTACTGGCATTATTATATAATGTTTTGGTTTATTCTGTGATCACCTGAGCACTCAACGTCGAACAGTGTCGAAGCAGTACGCTCATTTCACTCTAACACCATTTTGAATGTGAGGCTGATCCAGAATCAGACTGTACAGACAGAGCTTAGAGAAGGTGGAGTCATTTGAAAAATAAACATTTCTATTTCTTTACACAGCTATAAAGGTCAGGGATGTGCTCTGGTACCCGAGTACTTTGTCAACCATTCAAAGTGCCTGTATTTTGATACTTTTCAGATGTTCGTCATGTTTCATCACAGCAAGGCGGAGACAATAGACTGGCCAGCAGTTCAGTAAAACACAGGTTTTATGGTGTTTTTAACAGGACTGTAAAGTGATTTGCGAGTAAATAGTGCAGTGTGGCTGTCGGGCATCCCTCTGACCCTGCTTCCTCTATGGACTCGATCTCCCAGAACTCCCTGGGAGATCTCATGACTCTAGCACCACCACCGTCAACCAATCGTCATTCTTCCTCACCTGAGTACTGATAAGCCTCACCTGTTTCTTGTAATGATTGTTTGGTATAGACAGTATTTATGCCAGGGCTTTAGTTTAGCTAGTTGCGAGGTTTTGATTCTGTTACTAGAGCTACTGACCATTTATCACTGTGTGTCTTTTTGTATAACCCCTTTCTGGATCTTGTTTGCTTGGGTGTGTCTTTGTTATGCTTTGCTCTCTTGGTATCTGGTTCTTCCTGGATCTGACTTTAGCCCTGTTGATAACGATTGTGCCTTACGTACCAAACAGTAAAGCCTCATCTTCTTATTTTAACTGTATGCATCTGGCTAGATCTGGCACATTACAGTGGCATGGAGGCTAAAATATTTGTCTGAACCTGATGGCACTTGACTGCTCACGCTGGATTTAACATCATTGTCCAAATATATTCCAGGCTCAGATCAAGTTCAGATTTCACATTTGAGTTCTCGCAGCCTCCAGCTTTTAAGAGATTTTACTCTGGATTTCGCCTGCTTTAGTTTCGCTCCTTACTTCATTCTTGTTTTAAATCTGGCACCAGATTTTAGCACTGAGGTCCACAAGGGCCACACTTGTGAGAAAATACATGTGCAGGAGATAAACAGCAACACAATTCAGGAGACTACAGTTTAGTGGAGCCAAAAGGACGGCTAATTTGGTTGTAAAGTATTTTTGTGTTTTATGTTCAGTATCTTCTATGTGACATGTTCTATATAAAGAAATTTAGCATTGAACAGGTAACAGGCTAACATTTGGCAATATCAGCACCACACAGTGTGAGAACAGCATATTATGGGAAGTTTATCCAGACTGAAAATCTTTGGGATTTTGTTCAAAAATACTAAATAAATTTGTTAAAATTTGAGCAACTTAGTTTTGGACAGCTGATTATTTTATCATATTATTATTTTTTTATATTTGTCATCTAATGATAGCTATTATCACTACACAGCAATTTAACCACCTCTGTTATTCGAAATATCAGGTTTTGTTCAGCACTTTGGGATTTGATGCGCCAGATCAGGTCAGTTTGGGACATAATTTTGACTTTGTTTTGGCTCGAAACTTGATGCTGTGGGTCGAGTCAGGTTTCTGATTCCTGAGTTTTCTCAGGCTGTATTCTGGTTCAGACTAACATTTCAGGCCCGATTAAAGCTCCAGTTGTAATTTCAGTGGCTGCTCATCCTCTCGTGTGTGTGAGGGCCATCAGGGTTGGTTTGAGTGTGTGTGGAGCAGAGCACAGGTCCCAGTTGTCACGTCCACTCATCTCCATCACACACCTGTCCTCCACTGGCGCCATCACCCTCACCACATGATAACTAGCTCAAGAGAGACCCTGCAGAACAGCTCAGTACATGTGCACACTGAGTAGATGCCTGAAGGGATGACATGATACCATCATTTACCAGTATACCAGTATCAATACTGAAACTGTGAGTAGAAGAGGGCAGTGTACAACCGAACACATTCTGTTTTTTGCTAAATAATGTTAGAAATATTTGAGCAGGGTTAATATTTTTATGCAAGCAAACTACACATCTCTGCTAAAAATGAGCTTGTAAACTTTCCAGCACGTATCGTTTATAAACAATTCAGCCGGAAGTGAAATGAGTACAAATGTCACAACTTACCCCATAGGCGGAGTTAATTGTAACAGATGGAGGGGCTAGTCGTAGTGGTCTCTAAAAAAGTCTGATAAATTGATAAAAACACAAATAATCAATACAGTTCTGTGTTCTAATTGCGTAAAACCAGCTGAACATTTTAACCTAATTACATAAAAATCTATACCTCAGAATGAACATGAGTGAAAAGAGGTCGTCTCAAATGTGGCAAATTTATGTGGCAAAACTAGAAGAGCAAATATAAACATGATAGAAGTAAAATCTATTTCATTTCAAGAAAATTACCTGTATTGCAAGTTTTTGTACATGAAACGATAAAATAAAGTGTGTTAAATTTATACATGGGCTTCTCATATTGTTTACTTTGGGGGGGCTTTGTTGTAACACTGTCAAAATGAACCCCACTGTGTGGAGGCTGCACTTTAGCCTGGTTAGCTCTCACTGTATTTAAATTCTACAAAACAGTGATACAGCTGAGAGGGAGACTGAAATAGACTCGCTGTGAATTATACACACAACTCAGTATTCGCAAATACTTATGAAGGAAGTTATTTTTCTGGCACAAAAGAAAAGTCTTCAAGGTGAATCATAAGAAATATCTGTCCAGATGCTGTGAACATTCACAGGTGATGTTGCTATGTGGGAATACAGAATAAACAAAAGCACTTTCTACTTGAACCTGTTAAGCTACATAAAATAATTGTGTCATATTTCCCCCCTGCATTGTTCTCCCCTATCAGCTATATCCAATATTTTATAAATGTACTTTTATTATTTGATATGTTCTTACACATTATCAATCCCTTGTTCTGTATCAACTCGGCAACATTGTAAATGAGGGTCACCCTCAGTGTTCTCCGAGATTAAATAAAGGTTGATTGATTGATTAATTGATAGATTTTTTTCTTTAAGAATGACAAAAAATTTAACTACTTAAGTTAGTTATCTTAAAAAGTACCATACTCTCGCTGCTAAAACACTTTACTGCCCTACAGGAAGGAATACGTGGCTAACGCCATGGTTTACACAAAACTCCAGCTTGATGTTTAGACATGATGAAGACATGACGACTGTAATAAATTCACATTTCACATAAAACAGTAAATAAATCTCATCCTCTGAAGACACGTTCTTCATCAAGCTCTGACTAAGTTCTCTTTGGGAAACTCTTTCAGTGCACTCGTTATCAGATTTATCCACTCGTTACATGCAATTGCACATTTCCACCAGAGAGGTCTCTAAATCCCCAAAATTTACATAGTATAGCTTTACAGTAAAGGAATATTTTATGCTTACCTAGATACTCATTCTATTGTTAAGTGGCTACATGTGGCTTTATCATGTAACCTACTTCACTTTATGTTCTAGTGCGCTACAGGCTGTCCGACGGTACTTCAGGCTAGATTTGGTATATAATCAGATTGGATTTGTTCTTTTTTTCCCTCCTATACTGGATCCAGTATTTTGTGCTTGTAACAGCCCAGTACTGATACTTGTTATCGAATTTGGTGCCATCTATGTTTAAAAATACTTGGGCCAGCATTTTGAAGGCCTCGCCACTGAATGGTGTGATTACATTGTACTTTTCGTGGCAGTCAGCAGTGATCATATTGATTTATTCACACCATTTTAATGAAGAACTCTGTGATTGTGGGAGAAAATCATTGAGATTTGCAGGGGGGCGGATGATGACTGTAAGGAGGGGGCTTATGTCTGCTTGTGAAGGGTGCTGGAGCGCCACAGAAAGAAGGAGGCATCCAGACATGAAACTCAATGTCATCCGCCTCAGCGCCTCTTTATTAAACCCAAATGGCAGCAGAGAGCAGAATGCAGATCTAAAATCCATTACCAGTCTCTGAACATACAGTCATCGAGAGAGAGAGAGAGAGAGAGAGAGAGATAGAAGCACTCGAACATGGCAGGATTGTCACACTGATTTAGTTTGATGTGTGAGGTTTTGCAGCATCATTATTGCATTTACCAGTGTACGCTAGCTTTTGACCCCGTTACTGCAACCCGCACTTTTAATTGGAAAAAAACAGCCAAACATTTCACAAAGCGCCAGCCTCTCTTTAGATGCTTTATGAAGTAACTGGGGGATTATTTATCTTTGGCGGTCCCACTGCCCCTCATTCAAAGGGAATGGTATAAGTTTTCGGTACCACTTTAAAATACGACTATCCTTATAAAAGTACATGAATGGTTTCAAATGAGTTTATTAAAGGTTATTAATTAGGTCATAAAGGCCTCAAAATCATCAATAAGCAGTTACAACACAAACAAAAAGGGACAGCAGTGACCTATTGTTTGCCTAATAGTGAACCTTGATTCATGTATACTTTTAAACCTCAGATTTTGATGTTTACTGATCTTACTTTGTTCATTAAACTTAATCACATATTTCTATTCATCAGATAACACAGCTCACTTTTGCCCTTTAATTAATTAATGTGTTATAACTGCTTATTAATGATTTTTAAAGTGTTTATGACCCAACTAATAACCATTAACAAACTAAGTTTTAAACCATTCATAAGCGCTTTATAAGGGTAGTCTTATTTTAAAGTGGTACCAAGTTTTCACGGTCCTATCTTGTGCTGTTAAATATCATTTTCAGCCTGACTGTACTAATGGCTAATCTTGTCCCTGTGTTCACAGCTCTGTAGGCGTGCACCTGCTTTTGAAACTGTTAACTGACTGTAAAAGAATCTGAGCACACTCACTTTTCAGCCTCCTCTGAGTCTTTTAAGAACACAGTGTGAGAGTTCCTCTGCAGATACCTTCGCTATTTTCTTTATTTTTATACTGTTCTGTATTGACATTCATGCAACATCATATACCAGTGCTCTCCAGTCCTGGTCCTGGAGAGTTGCCTTCCTGTAGAGTTTAGCTCCAAGTTGTATCCAGTAAGCTGCCCCACCCCTTATTCCCCTCAGTGAACGTTTCCTCAGAGGTACAGCAGTGGTTTTAGGGTCCAATTGTGCACCCTGAATAAGTTTTTCCAGGTGAAAAGTACATATTTGTATCTTTTCATGACCTAATATTTTAAAACAGAACAATAAAATAAAAAGCCCGGAGACGAGACGGGGTGTGTGGAGTCAATACAATTTAGAAATTATAATTTCAATGGATTATGGTACAGTTATGTTCCCTGACTAAAGGTACTGAGATGGACCCGTGATGGTACCACCCCAGTCACAAGAGGGGCACTGCCCCAGAGACAGTTACATACCTTTATTTCTGAAAGTGTATGCAGTACTGTAAAAAGTTATAATGATAAATAAAGACAGTCCTGCAGCACACACATTTTACATGGCTAAATCTTTATTAAACCAGTGGTTTAAACAATCAAGGACATTTGTAGAAAAATAATTGAAAAGTTCTTCAATATCTATTAAAGATGCTTTTGTTTATTAACTAGTAAAACCTCCCTTATTTGCTTATCTGTGCATTTTTGGAAAGTCTTGCCTGACCATGTCAGTGTCACTGCTGTGCTGAGAATGTCCTGTGGTGGAGGGTTAGATAAATAAAGAGGTGTATCTAATAAACATGCAATGCAGTGTATTTATTAAATTCAGCTTTATTTGTATGTTCCCTGATATAGTCAGCCTCACTTTACCTGTATCTTTAACAAAGCCCAACGGAGAGAGAGATGTGGTGTGCTCTTTAGGTTAGAAGGTGAGCATTGTATGCCCTCAGGCAAAGCATTTAAGTGCACACTCCCACTACATCCATATAAAATCTGTACAAAAATCATTATCCTCAGGATTACATGGCAGTGTGAAATGTTTTTGTTAAACTATTGGCTCTCCGAATATTAAATGTACAACATATTTCGATTACACTATGCTGAAGAGCAGCATTAGAATAGCTACATGACACTGACAGCAAGTGTTATGACAACTGCTGTTTGTTGGAATAAGCCTTTATAAATGTCTAGATAGGTTTATATCAGTCATAATAAAATGCTTGCATAGGCATCATGTAGCCTTATGAATGCTGCCCTTCAGTAAAGTGTTGCTTATTTTTCTCTCATCCAAGATTTGCAAAATATGAATCCTTGCAATTTGCAGTCGGCGTGCTGATTTATCATAACCCTTGAGTGAATCGTGAGTGTGTTCACCAGGATTGGAAGCTTGCAGAACTAGAATGTCCAGACCCAAAAACGAAGGTCCAGTCTCAATCGAAAACTAGAAAATAAATAAAGAAAAGGGTCCCTTAATGTACGTGCTTGTCTTGTGACCTCAGCATTGTGTCGTACACCTCACTACGGTAGAGGGCTGTGAGTTACGGAGGGTGCACGATCGACGGACGGACACGGTCAGGCCGGGTTTGCGGAGTGTAATGAGGTGGTACAGTCCAGGAGAGGACAGTGGGCTTTCACTCGAGCTGTCACTCCGAACCCTCGGCTCTGAGCTCCGGACAGGCAGACAGGCTTCTCCCAGCATGCTCTTAATAATTCATCAGCCCCTCATGAGGCACGACTGCATCCTCCATGTCTGCGTATGAAATATTGAACATGGTTCATTCAAGCGTCGGCAAAGTTATGCAATCCTGCTCAGGGGTTGCCGGTAACCTAATCCACGGCCGCGCGTGATGAATATGCAGCATGTATGAATACGTGATATGATAAAGCAGAGCAGGGAGGGGGAGTATTGCTGTGTATTGCTGTATAACTCCGGCCCCTGCTGTTACCTCTCTCCGCTCATGTCATGTCAGCGAGCTCACATTGAAGCTGGAAGAAAAGATCCGGGGCAGTCTGACACTTCAAACCTGTCATCTTCATGCTGCATCATGTCACAGCACCAAAATCACCAAAACCACCAGGTTTCATTTCCAGCCCTCTTCTCTTCTCAGCAAAACAAACTCGCCCACGTTAATGTTTGCTTTTTTCCAGGCATATTTTCACTGTTATCTTTTCCCTCTTCTTGTTTTTTTATAGTTGGAGGAGAAAGTGTGAGATGATGAATGTGATTGTGTTTGCTGTTTGTCAGTTCAAAGCTGTTCGGCAGAGAGAGTATGTGATGCATTCTGGAGAGTCATTGTTTTCCCCTGAGGGCGTTTCTCTCTCTCTCTCAATCTCTCTCTCTCTCTCTCTCTCTCTCTCTCTCTCCCTCCTCTCTTTATATATCCATCTCTCTCTCTCTGACTCTGCTGAGAGAACACGGTTAATATTGTATGACCCACTGTCCCCTGTCTGATTTGCTTCACTTACAGCATGAGGCTCAAGTCAACATGGTCTGAATCATTTACAGTCAACTTACTTAATCTGCTGTAATCTCTTCCCCTCTTACTTTCCTCTTCCTTCTCTCTCCCCTTCACTCCTCCCTCTCTCTTGCATGCTTCTCTCTCTCTGTCTCTATCTCTCTCTTTCTCTCTCACTCTCTCTCCCCCACTATTTCTTTCTCTTTCTCTTTTATTTCTCTTTCTCTTCCCTTCATTCCTCTGTTTCTCTCTCACTCTCTCGCTCCCACACTATTTCTTTATCTTTCTCTTTTATTTCTCTTTCTCTTCCCTTCATTCCTCTGTTTCTCTGTCTCTCTCTCTCTCTCTCTCTCTCTCTGTGTCTGTCTCTGTCTTGTCTTTCTTGCTCTCTCTTTCCTTCATACTTGTCTCTCCCTTTTATCTTTCTTCTTTCTTTCTTTCTGTCTTTCTCTTTTTCTCTCTTTCTCTATCTCTTCATTTCACCCCCCCTCCATCTTTCACACACTCACATACACACACACACACACACACACACACTCACACACACTTAATTCAATATTTTAACATTTTCTTTACTTTTTTCATGGCAAAAAGTACATTTCTATTGTCATTGCATAAATCACATATACACATACAACGATGATAAAATGTGCTCAACAGTATCCAGACAGCCCTTCTAATGAGTAAACTCAGCTACCTGAGTTCACCAAGATCACCCACTGCTCATTCAGGTGAGCTCTTCCACATACAGCTTGTATAATCTCCATAGAAAACCATTGCTAATAGAATGGGATGCTTAGGAGCCTAAGGTCACCATGCCTAATTCCCAGCGTTGGCTACAGTGGTATAAAGCCCCCCGCATTGGGCTGTGGAGCAGTGGAACGGCATTCTCCGGAGTGATGGAGTTCCAGTCTGTACCTTCGGTGGTGTGTGATCCAGAACTGATCATCCAACATCAGTACCCGACCTCACTAATGCTCTTATGGCTGAATGCAATCAAATCCTCACAGCAATGTTCCAGCATCTAGTATAAAGCCTTCCCAGAAACTGGACATATAGATGTATGTACATGTACATATATAGCAAAATCATGTAACAATCTCTCTCTCTCTCTCTCTCTCTCTCTCTCTCTCTCTCTCTCTCTCTCTCTCAGTCATAAAAGAAGCAAGACCAAGTCGAGGACCAGGCGCCTGAAGATTTCTTTAGCGGAGACTGTTTCTCTATGGCAGATCGGCCTTTTTGAGCTCATGTTGTGGATCCGGAGCTCAGTGTTGGCCCGCTGGATCTGCTCCATGCTCAGCTTCTTGCCCTACACACACTGAGTGACCCAGACGAGGACCAGTCCACTGCCTGTCTGCCTCTCATACATACAGACTGTACCAGTAGCTTGGGTAAGGATGGATGGATGGAGAGATAATATTACAGGAGAACCGTTCTTCTACCATGTGATGTGGGGTCAACTGCTCATTGCTGTATATCATTCACAATAACTGTACGTCAGTAGTTTGAATGAGCATAATCAGTAGCTCAATGAGTTTTTACTGTGAATAACTGTGGTCACAACATAAAATGTAGTATATTTGATACAGATCATGAAGGGGGCAGCATAAGGATGACCAGATATGATGATTACAACATGGGGCATCTTCTTCTAGCATGTTTACTCTCATAGTGTCTGAGACGCACAAGATTTATAGTACTGTATGTGTGCTTATGTGCATTTTTTCAGGAGTGTCAAATAGTGTTTTTTTTGTGTGTGTGTGGTGTAAATGAGGACATAGATGTGGACACCCACTGACTTGTGGCAGGATCTGTGGGGGAAACACTTCCATTCACATTCCTTCATCCTTCTGTCTTCATTCTTCTTTCCACTGCACTGCCTTTTACAAACCACAGCACAGCAGTTTAAGCCCATCAGTGGGATCCTTCACACCTCAAAATAAAGGTGCCAAACAGGGCTCTTTGAAGCGATGCCACAGAAGAACGTCTTCTGTTTTCCTAAAGGCCATTTCAGTGGACGGTTCTTTAAATAACTGTGTTTTGAAAGTGGAAATGAACCTTTTCAAAAAGCCCATATCCTACATTTTTCTTTGAGGTCCACTTATAATGTTTGGGTGACTTTGTTTTGTACCACAAACAGCCATAATTAAATTACATGACCACATGACCATTTCCATCCTCTCTATATCCCTTAGAATTAAACAGGCTGGTTTTGTTACTGTCATTTTAAGAATGATATATGTAAATGAGCTCTGGTCTGATTGGCTGCCCTGTATTAGACTTCATTCAGAAAGCAGTCTGGGCTGAAACACTCCTTATAACTTCAGTGTGAATGGGCGGAGCAAAACTGCTGTAAGCTGAATAGGCAGATATTTGTTTATGTTTTTTTTTTTTCTGTGACATCACAGAAACAGTGAATTCAAAACAGGCTGTCTTTGCAGCATAGTTTTCATATATGGACTGGGGAGTGAAATCGTATGTTTTGGAACTTTAACAGTGTTTACATCCCACATTAAACTCTTTTATTTAAAAAAAAAGTGAGGATTTGTTCCCAAGATATGTTCCTTATGAAGTTTAAAGTAATATAAAAGCTCTAAACGTTCTTCAAAATGAATGTTTCTGAATGGATCTTGGTTGGCACTAGGAAAAACATTTAATTAGTTAGGACCTTTACATTATGTGGAGGTTCTTTTAACTTTACAAAAGGAACATCTCATGTACAAACCGTCCATCGGAAGAGCCTTTTGATGGTTGGTTCTACCGTTCTTTAGGGAAGCAGATGTGGTTTCTCTATGGCATCGCTGTGAAGACCCTTTCGGCCATTTTTAAGAGTGATATTATAATATCATTACTTTCTCTTATTTAATTAAATGTTCAATTACGGTTTGATATGTTACTTGTTGTTTTATGTAATATTCTGCGCAGTATTGCCTCCTTCAGGTTCATAAGTTTGTATTTTTGTATCTACTTTGTGTATTTTTGTGTTTTTGTCCAACAGTGTTCTCTAACTACAATACCCAGCATGCATTCACAAATACATCATAAAACTACTGGGAAATCCTAAGTGCTTGCATAGCCACTGATGTAGAGGCTAATGAATACGGATGGAATGTATTCATGGCTTCCAAGCAGTAATGTTAACTATCAGGCTTCCTTCTGTTTTGGCCAGCTAGTAGGGAAAAAGCAACTCACCCTCATGTGTCTGCTGGAAAGTACTTGTAGTTTTCAAAGGTTTTTCCAACCTTCAAGGAACATCTTCAGTAGGGTGTTTAAACTGGAATATCTCACTGTGGAGACTACTGTAGGAGCTAAGTAGATGTTTTCCAAAATATGTAGTAATTGTTCTTATTTTGGTCAGAATATCCCTTTAATAAATCAATATTGAGATTGGATTTTTCTCCCTGAATCAACCTAGTATTGTTTTAGTTTGGTAGTTTTAATTGTTTTTTCTTCCTTTTCTTGTTTTCCTATTTTATCCTATTAATTGCTTCAGCTTCAGGATTGCTAATTGCTTCAGGATGTCACTGAGAGATTTCACTTATACTAAGTGTCATTGTGGGAATAAATGGGGAAAAAAAAACTGAACAGTCTTTCTGAAGCAGACTATATTTCTTTTTGCTGACTACAATGGAATTGATCTAGATTGCCACTGGTCAGAAGATTTTTTTTTTTTCTGAGATGTTAAAGTCATCACAACTTATAGCTCTGACCCCAGGGCAGCTCTGAATCCATTGAACTCACTTGATGCTTTTGTGGTGCTGATGAGCCTCCTCAGGTAAGATCACCCCAGCAGGTCCTCTCGGTGAGGGAACTGCCTTGTCGTTGAGGAAGGCCCAGAGGCAACAGCAGGCAGAAAGGGAATCCAGTGAGGCTGCAAATCCTCCAGAGCAGAGAGCAGAGAGCTAGCTCCTGGCAGCCAGGCCCTCTGTGATGGACACTGTTATCAATCTACTCAACAGGTTCCACCACCAAATGGCTTTCCATACAGGCAGAGTGCCGTGTTCGGCCAGCAAGCCGAAATGAAATTGCTGAATCCCAGCTTCACGCTCCACAATAATGTGCCATTTACTGCTTCCACAGTTAATCCTGTCAGGAGCAAATCTCAGCCAGTGCATTTCCAGGATACGCAAGGGCCAGTAATTAATATTTTTTTTTGTATGGATGGGATGCACTCAAACTGCATAATTGCATAAGTGCGTTATTTGTCTTCCCTTGATATGGACTGTTTACACATATTGTATTTTTAATAGCATGCTATTTATGTATGGTGCCATTTCCAGGTGTTGTCGTGGTTGGAGTATTGTCACGCTGAGTTAGAAGAGGACACAAGCCGCTCCCTTTCTTATCGCTCCCAACCCATTTCTTAATTAGACTGGACCTTTGTAAGCAGACTCAGTCCCGGCTCTGGGCCAATGTCTGGCCAGAATGAAAAACCCATCCATCTTGATCAAAAAGCTGAGGCTGGCGCTGCCAAATGTAATCATCTAGGTAATAGGCCTGTGGGCTCAGTAGATAGGGGGCAATGTGAACACAGCCACGCTTTAAGGACATTCTCTCCTCTTAGTTTACCTTTGACCAGGTGAGCGAAAGTCCAATAGCATACACCTCACTTAGGGCTGGGCAGTATACATAAAATTCAGTATTACAAGATTTGTTCAAATATACACTGTATGCCCAAAATACGTGGACACCCATCCTAATTATTGAGTTCAGGTGTTCACCCATTGCTCAGGTGTATATAATCAAACTCATATCTATGCAATCTCCATAGACAAACATTGGCATGCGTTGTACTGATGAGCTCAGTGACTTTAAATGTGGCACTGTCAAAGGACACCACCTTTGCCACAAGTCAGTTTGTGGAATTTCTGCCCTGCTAGGTCTGCCCCAGTCAACTGTAAGTGCTGTTAAGGTGAAAGGGAAGTGTAGAGGAGAAACAATGTTAGTGCTAAAGCACATAAAGACAGACAATTATATGCTTCCAACATTGTGCCAACAGTTTGCTGAAGGCCCTTTCCTGTTCCAACATGACTGTGCCCCTGTGTTCAAAACAAGCAACATAAAGACATGGTTTCACAAGTTTGGTGTGGAGGAATGCAAGTGACCTGCACAGATCCCTGACCTCAACCCCACTGAACACCTTTGGGATGAATTGGAACACTCATTGCGAGTCCAGCCTTTTTTGACCAAATGGGCACAACGTCCCGCAGACACACTCCAAAATCTTGTGGAAAGCCATCCCAGAAGAGTGGAGGCTGTTATAGCCAACTCCATTTTAATGTCCATGCTTCTGCAAAAGAGATGTCCAACACGGTGTGATGGTCAGATGTCCACATACTTTTGGTATCACAAAATCAGATGATGAAGTTTAAATGAATAGAATTACTTAAATAGCTTGTTTTCATTGAACTTGTCTTGTTCTGTTCTGTTTCTGTTAAAATTACACCAAAGGGAATCTTACACAGTATTGTAAACCAGACAGATCTACTGTTTGATCAGTTATGAGCTGTTCTTTTAACCCTCTATTGCACAATGTTGCCTCAGGGCAACAAACTCATTTTCCTCAATTAGCAATAACATTATATATTTAAAGAAAACCATAGGGTTAACAATAAAGAGAAGCGTTTGATTAAGTCCTTAAAAAGCATGTACTTGGTCATACTGTCTCTTACTGGGCACTTTTGAACCTTTTTTAACATTCAGTATCAATTGTTTTTTGTTATGAGAATTTGCAGTTTGTTGCCTAGGAGCAACATTATGCCACAGTGGAATTGATTTAGCCAGTCACAAACCAGGTCTCACTACTTCAGGGAACACGACTGTATATCATTTAATCTCCTTGTCACACAATGTTGCCTTGAGGCAACATACTCTAAAAGAATCCCTGCACACATTATTATTTTTTAAAATGTTTTTGAATATAGTAATCAGGTCTATTTTATGCAAGAAAAGTGAATCGATTTTTTTTTAATTGCTCTTATAATACATGCTGTAGAGAGTTAAAGAACCTACAATGCAGTTTTTCTTAGGGGTAGGTAATATAATTGTTTTCATTATCATCATGATAAATTATATCACATTACATCACAGTAAGCTTTTCTGGGCATATCATGAATGAATATATATGATGATATATATGAATATATATCATCAGTATTTGAAGGAAACTGACCAACTGCATGTTTCATTACAGATCAAGCATAATTAGTCCGGCTTAGTGGATTAGTGCAGTGCAGTATACTTATTGTGTATCGTAAAATTATATTAAAGTATCGTATGGTATGTTATATATTAATGTTATATTATATCACCCATTCCCTGTTTTTGCTACCCCTCAATACCTCCAAAATTAAAAATCAGTATTATTGTGTGACATCAATACAAATACGGAAAATATACCACCCAGCACAAGCATCAACTGCACCAGAGTCTGGTTTCTGTAGCATGTAGGATGTAGTAGTCTATCTGGAAGATAATCCTATCTCAACATGTCTCCTGTTACTGTAGGTACGAGATGCTGATGTATTTAGTTGTAAAGAGCACGTGTGCTACATATCATCTGGCCAGCTGCGCTTATCAGGAGCATTATCTCAGGCTTTAGCCGAAGGAAGAGAAAATGCTGGGGGAGTAAATTAAATGCCACAATCAATTGCCCCACATAGCAGAGCTTAATCTCTTCCCTTCAGCTGAATTGAGTGGAAATACACTTTTGGGCCATTACCTGATGCTGCAGCTGGCTTCAGCAAACACTGGAAATCTGCTGCGTTTTCATTCGGCATGAAAGGTGCTCATCATCTCCATTATCAGTGTATGGCTCCTCCATGCAGTGCTGTGCTACCAAGGAAACACTTTACATAAAGCAGCTTCCTTGTGTCAGTTTTAACCACACATCTCAAAATTGTCAGAGTTGTCAAAAATTCTTCAATCTTGGATCAGCTAAAGCTAAAGCTAAAGCGTTTTTTTAGTCGGCAATAGTATTTTGAGTGCCTGTCAGTCTGTTTTTTGAAAAAAAACTTGTTTGCCACCAAAACTGCCACCAAAAGTACATCATAATGTAATTTATGCTCTTAGGAGTAAGAAATCGTTCCGCTTTTTCAGAGATTTATCAAAAGCCTTTGACACTGTTAATGAAGACATTTTATTGTTTCGATTGGATAGTATTGGGTTGTCTGACAATGTTTTAGGTTGGTTTAGGACTTCTGCCCACCAGCCAATCAGAATAGAAATCATTTAGTAGGATGTAAGATATGTACCTTTTAATAAAGGCTCAGCATCG